ATTCAGAAGAGGATGTGGAACAAGGGATGTAACTGCTGACATCAGATGAATCTTGGCTGAAAGGAGAGTAGCTAAGTTATTCAAATAAAATTGCAGATGGGAGATCTGTTAAGTAATTTTTGTCTACTCTTCCTTAGAAATACAGCTCAAAACCCTTTATTCCAGATCTATGTGATAATTACTATCTGCAAACTGGAGGGTTTAATTCAAAATCTATGACCATGGTACTTGTACCACTTAGCAGATTCACTAATCAAGGAACTAATGACCCACCTAACTATATCTCCATACCTCATGGAATCTCTGGTTTCTTTCCTCCTGAAACCAAACCAAACCAAACTCACTGCTGTTGAGTCAGTCCTGACTCATAGAAACTCCTCCTTGGGTTTCTGAGGTGGTATGTCTATGGAAGTAGATTGCCAAATCTTCCTTCCAAGGAGTGGCTGGAGTGCATGATGGTTAGCAGTCAAATGCCTTAGGAACTACGCCACCAGAGCTCCTAAAGGTAAGTCTTTTGTCTAGATTTTTCCACTAATTTAGGGCAAAGTTTCTCAGAGTTTCTGTGGAGAAGCAGCAGTATCTTTTCCTTTCCTCTCATCTGTGGCTGGACATACTTTTATGAAATATAATCAAAGTGAATTATTTAGAAAAAGGAAAACAAACTAATATAAAATTTCAATAATTTTTTAAAGTAATAGATTCCAAAACAAAAATTAGTCAATCAAGTTGCTGTAAAAACTTTTAAAAGCTTACCCTCAGTTTTTTAATATGTCTCATAGTGAACCAGACATAAACAGTTCACAGCCGGAGTACACTAATCAAGAGAGTCTACATATCAATAGATTGTTTTGCAACATAAAAATATCTTTGAAAGAAAAAAGTGCTCAATAAACCAAGTAAGATATTTTGTAGTTTATCACAAACAATTCTATATTGAAAATTACTATCCTATATTATTTTCTCATCTTTGACCTAGTTTCAACTCCAACCAGATTTTAGTCTATTTTTGTTTTCATGTCTAAAGGGAGCTCTTGTAGACAGCATATTGATGGGTCATGTTTTCTCCCCCAGTCTTCAACTCTCTGTGTTTTGAATGGTGCATTTAATCTATTTATATTCAGTGTAATTATAATCAAGTATGCATTTATTGATGTCATTTTGTTCCTGTCTTTTTCATGGTGTTGCTGATTTCTATGTTCCACATACTTTTTTACTCATTTTGTTTATGAATTGTGTTATCATCTCCTTCATTGCTATTGTTTTAGTATTTGCTAAATATTTGTGCTTGTCCTCTTTTTTATTTTGATGTGAAAGTTTATTATTTTTCTTTGAGGTTACCCTATGATTTATAACTTTCTTCCCAAGTTTAAAAAATCTGTTCCATACTGCAATTTTCTTGACTGTCTCGCCATTTAGAAGTTCTGTACCTATACTATTCCCTTTTCTTGGTTTGTAGTTGTCCTCACTTACCAAGTGATGTCTCTGATTCCCTGTTCACAGTCTTATAAGCTTAGTTTACTTTGGATACTTCTGTAACTGGGTTGGTTTTGGGGTGATGTCACCATGTGTGTTAATCAGTTATTGTTTGGTGTTATTGGTTCTCTGTCAGAAGGACTCTCTTTAGCATCTCTTGTAACACTGGTCTGGATTTCACAAATTCCCTTAATTTCTGCTTATCTGGAAATGTCCTAATTTCACCATCATATTTAAGGAACAAATTTTCTGGATATATAATTCCTGCTTAGAAATTTTTTTTTTTCTTTAAGGTTTTTATATCTATCACCCCATTGCCTTGCCTCCTTCATGGTTTCTGCTGAGAAATCCAAGCTTAGTCTTATTGGTTGCCCTTTGTAGGTAATTTATCAGTTGCTCCATGCTGCTTTCAGTATTCTTTCTTTGACTTTGGTTTTGGTGAGTTTCATTATGGTATGTCTTGGTGATTTTCTTTTGAGGTCTAACCTGTTTGGGGTT